ACATGCTGAAAGATGAAAATGAAAGTGGATAAAATGGAAAAGGCCAAAAGATAAACTTTAAGTGAAAACTAATCGATGATTTGTTGTTCCGGTTGATTGGCTTGTAGTCAAACTTTGTTGCGTTTAATCAAAATAACTGTTTTGACAATAAATAGTCAAACACATTGGTTTCATGAGTCCACTGTACCAATTTAAACGATTGATTACATTCATCCAGTTTGATGAACGTCCATCAATTTCTCAATAAAAGCGAAATCTTTCAATTGTTACTACGCAAACGACGATGAAAATCCAAAGAAGAAAAAAAAACACACACCGAACTTAATGATAACGAAATTTAGTTGTTGTATAAAAAGGGACACGATTCACATGTGAGCGTGATTGATACATAGTAAAAATGTGAACCGTATACGCTATTTATATGTACATCGGATATAATTTTCATGTTGTGCACGTAGTGTAGTATATGTGCAGATACACACAGATGTGAAATGGGACGATTGATCCGCTGGATTTCTGCTACAATCTTTCGTCCATTAAAAAAATTACCATAATTTTAACCCGGGAAATTCAAGTGATTGCACTTATTGACCGGATAATATTCGATGGTGATGGTATTATGTAAAGCCATTATAATAATACCGGTTATCCCATCATGAACAGAGAGAAAATAAGTGACAAAAGAAGATACATAAATCATCATCATTGAAAAATATGCGCAAAATTATATTGTGTTCACTTTTTGAAACCGACTACACATCGATCGCTTAAACGACGATTTTTATTTTCGGCGCTGAATGTAAATTCTTGTTTTTAATTTAAATAGTTTTGATTTAAATTCGCTTTGTTTTGTGCTGATGATCCGAGCAAAACAAATGTCAATAAAAAAAATACGCGCTAGGAAAAAAAAGCAAGAATGGATGGCCATGATTGGATGTGGATGGAAATCATGGAATACTATAAGACCTCATCGCTTTTGTACGATATACCATATACACAATTTAATGGTGATTTAAGCCAAATTTAATAATAAATATAAACGATTGTTCTATTTCTATCTCTTGGTCGTTTTTTCTCCTCATCGTCCACTTGACCACCATCCACTGGTTGTCGATGCTTAATTTATCTGTTTCAATGCGGTTACTATACGGCGTATTTCTTTCATTCGATGTGGTAGTCAGTCTGTTCCTCTGTGTGCTCGAATCGAAAGTAATGTGAAAGAGACGGAAACAAGACAATGTTGAATGCATAAAAAAACGATCGGGTTTTCTATCGATGTATGACCCTCACTGAATCAAATGGGAAATCAATATTTGATTCGATTTTATATAGTTCAGGCACATACAGAGACACACGCACAAAAAAAGACAAACAAATTCAATCACATTCACTTACAATGCCATGTGATGCCATTCGTTTGTATAGTCGTTTCCAAAAAGATCTGTGTTGTCAAACTAATACAATGAATTTCGGAACGCATTTCCATTCAAAAGTACACAAGGCTCCTTAGTTAAACGTGTCAATTTGGTTTGAATTTTGTTGAGGGTATGTTGTTTGTTCAAAATTTTGACAGTTCGCTGTAACAGATCTTATTGAAAACGACTATACATTGCTATCGAAGTTGGTCGTCAATACATCGTCTCCTGTTGTGTATAGATCAGCTTTTTAAGTCCATTGGCGTGCCATTTTCTGTGACCATTGTATAAGTAAATATGAGCTTTTACTCGAGTCTTTGTTTGAATCTTTTTGAGCTCCATCAATTTGAATCAATGTGTATGTGTGCATGTGTCTCAATTTTAGTTACAGCATAGAATGAGCACCACGATTCATTTGAGTTTTTCCACAATTTATTTCTTCATAAAATTTGATACGGGATTTTCTTCAATGTTTCGTTCATAACGGACTCAATCTAACATACATTATTGTTTTATTGTATTTCCATTTTGGTAATAGTAAAGATGAGCACAACTGTTGTTCATAGCACATGATAATGGTCAAAAGTGTTTGGAGTGGCAAAAAAGAGTCGAACATTTTTGTACTATCTCCGAAACTCGGTTATGGATGAAGTGAAACACACAAATCATAAAGACCTATACATATGTATAATAAGGTGGTCCAAAAAAATGGTTTCTTTTTATTTTGGCTCCATTGCACACTTCCCGTCATGAACTTATTGTGAAACTGAGAGAATCAATTTGTTTTTTTTTTTTGGCACAAATGGAAACGTGCCAAGTTCAATGTATATCCGTGAAAAATGTGCACCACCCTAATTCAGTGCCGTTCACATATTTTCACCGCTCGACTATGGAGATGAAATGCTTTTATCTTTCACCACCTGAATTTTTTTTTTGCTTTAATCTCAAAAGAAAATATAGTTTATCCACCGAACTGTGTATGTCATCGTCCACAACTCGTATCGGAAAATTGAATTCCAGCTGTAAATTGGCTTTCCGCTTCACTCAAGTAGACTCTCAAGCGCTGAGAATATTCCCGGTGCTCGTTAGTCCATAATTTTCTGTGCTTAGAGCCTGATGACCGTAGCATCCGCACTCAGAGACACGAACATACAAGTGGCCGGTGCACTGAGTTGTTTGAGTTTTTTCAACGTAAAATTTAATTATAATCGAAGTGATTTTTGTATTAAATATTTGCGTCATTCCAAGCAGTTTCCATAAAACATTTTTACATTATTTCCATTCCGTGTATTATATTGAACGTTGAGCATAATAATTCAATTTTCGTGCACATCATACATAAAATACAAAATCCATTGTCTGTAATGGGTGAGGTTAAAATCATTTCGCCCATTTGATTCTTAGCATGAGCACGCAAGCAGCAAACGCTTTGATTTCATCATAGCTGTGTGCGGTCAGGTTCTCATAACTGGATAAACACTGACGCAATATGTGTACGGTTCTGTGAATGATTGCACTTATTGCATTTTGTATCATAAACATCCATACACGGTTACACACAGATTTCATTCATCGAATAGATTGCTGCATCAGCCCGGGCTGTCCGTTCTTTTGGAATTTTCTCTCCATACTTTTTTTTTGTCACATTTTTTTGCCTGCTTGATTTCCTTTCTGGCCAACATTGTACTGCAAATCTGTTCAAATTTTTTTGTGTTGTTGTTGTTGTGCAATGTGATCAGCACTCTATACCAGAACAGAATTTGTGTGTATAATACAGATAGCATCCTATGTACGGAACACTGAACAAAGTCATTGTCACTTATTTGTGTTTGCTTCGTGCAGCTCGTTTATCACCGAAATAAGAAAAATTAAATGCATGCGTCTAAAGGGGCCAAAGTTCGTTGGAGCGAAAATGGAGGAAAAACTTTTTCTCGACACAATGAATGGGCAGTAAAATAATGAAAATGTAATTTATAAATGGAAAAAAAGTGTAGGAAGGTAGAAAGAGATAGAGAGAGATAGAGCGAATGCTAAATTGAAGAAAATCAAGTGCTCTGATAATAGCGAATTTGCTCAATTTGAATTCTTATTTCGGACGTGATTTATGCGAATTTCTTGTATTTAATGTGACTAATTATAGTCGATGAATTGTAAAAATATAGTAATGGGTCCAGGCGCACAAAATGTCAGTCAACAACTTGAGTGAGTCAATTGCGTTGACGATGATTTTTTTTTTTCAATGATTTTCGATAAATATCGAGAAAATTAGAAAAAGCAAAAGAGTAAAGAAAACGTTTCACACAAATTTCTCTTTAATTGCGAAAACTTCAAATCGAGTACGAGACCTCATTTGACATGTTGAAATCCTTGAATGCACACCAGAATTTATTACATTCACTTGTACGGTACAAAACGGTTCCACTTTCAACACGCTCTCGTATGATTTTTTTTTGTTGCTGTTGCACGGCAATTCAGCAAACTCGATAGCCATTTGCTGAATGCTTGGTCATTAAAGTGGGCTCCCCTTAATGTGTCTATCGCGTGAAATAATTAGTTGCCACATATTAAGCTGAACGACAATAGCAATAACACCAAATTCTCTGTAAGAAGAAGAAAAAAAGGAATATTTCAATCAAAGCAACGCTTTTGACAGACAATCGACACACGTTCAGAACATTTGAAGTCGGCATCATAATATAACACAAGTATATCATTCATTCGCTTGCATATTATTTTTTGACAGACTACATAACTGTAATTGAGCATCAAGTATATGAATTGTTCTGAACAAATGAAAAAAAAAGGAGATAATAATAAGAAAGATGTAATGTTTTGTTTGCGTGGGAAGACAGTATATGATAATGCATATCCACTAATACCATCATACCATTCGAATACATTCTATCAAAGATCGAAACTTAAAACTTAAATTGCAAACGAAAAAAACATGTATGCCAAATCAGTGAATAATCATTGTTTTGGCCATTAAAATCGAAATTTCTCAATCCATGACTGTTCAAGCTTGATATATAGAACAAAAAGTCACATGTGTTGTTTCACTTAAAAATGCATTCTTCTAATGAATACACACACACACAAACATATATCACTTTGATTGAGTTGTTCATAATTTCATTTTGCTAGTTGCTTCTGAAACTCTGTCAAAACCATCACTGCACAAGTGCACTCTTGCAGTGTGCACAAGCAAAACATTATTTAGACACATTAATTGAGAAATTGAGAACTTTATATTGCTCAATGAATTGTATATGGGCAAAATAGCAGTCTGACAACTTCATAATATACTTAGCTGTACACATCGAACGTCATATATTGAAGTAACTTTCTCGTTGTAAATTTGTTGGTGTTCGTGGTTTTTTTTCTTCTTCCTTTAGTTGTGGTGATAAATATGTTCATTTCGCTTGAATGTGTAACTTATAATCGACCACAAAAATGTTGCTTGTTTTGAAATCTATTAAAGTTTAAATTATAACCATGGATCATACAAAATATCAATTAAGCCAGTGATTAACACTTTTCACTCTTCCTTTTCGTGTTTTCTTTTTCTCTTCACTCTCCTCTTAGGCATGGTGCGAACAACAACATAGTGAACGTGCACAAAGTCCCTTCAACAATGAAAACGGTATGTTAAAGCATATAAGTTTCAAGTTACAAAGAAACATGATTCATTGTCAAATTGAAATAGGTGAAATACGCACCGTTTTAGAATATTGTTATCTCGAATATTCTACCATGCGAACAAAATTCGGAGTTGGCTCGATTGAATTACAAAATTTTTGCTATACCAAATTAGCGTGTTGATTTGCCGCTAAACATTTTGATAAATGAAACGGTGTAGTGCACCTAATGATTTCGTTCAACCATTTCGTTTCGAGTAAAATGCGAATCGTTCGGTACATGTGTGGGCCAAGTGTTTGTGTGTGTGTGATTTTTAGTTGAAAATGACAAGCAAATTCACTGTCAATGTTGCTATAAATAACGACATCAGGCTCTCTGTAATTTTCGTTGAAATTTGATCATTTGTCGGTTGATGTTTGCAATTGCCACCAATAAAAGCAACATTTATATTAATTGAAATCAAAACTAAACGGAACAACAACAAAAAAATAAGCAACGTGAATAGGCGCGGTATTTGTCAAACATACACATGGCGCGCCAATGAACGCGCAACAATGTAAAGAAAAGCACAAGGGAAAAACGTTTGTTCAAAAGATTTCAAGACTAATTAGATAATAACGGTGATGTGTACAATGCATGTTTATTCATGTTATGTACTAAACGATGTGTGTGTGTTAATTTATACGGCGCATTGACTTGCAAATCAGTCGCATACTTCCCGGATGATGTGTACGATGTTATATGAACGTCGTTTTGTTCGACGTCTTCCGTTTAATCATACATATACGATACATCTAGTGCAGTTTATGTTTTAACATTTTTTCGTAATACGCGTAAAATGTTGGCTCCTTGGTTTCTCTCTCTCTCTCTCTCTCTTTTGCTCGTCTTTTTTATCGTTATATTACCGTTAAATATTATGCATAATCATTTCGCTGATATTTCACCATTAATTTTTATTACTTACTGTATTTATTCAAATCTTTATCGCATTTATTCGACTTTATTGTTATCTACCCATTTCGCTATGAAATATATTCGTGTAATATTTGACGATTTTTGATTGTTTCCATATCTCAATGTGATGAAAGAAATCATTACGCTAGTGCTATGAAGATCTGTTGTTTTTGTTGTATGTACGCTTGTTTCCTTCCGTTGGCCAAAAGACGATGGGAGTGAGATAGAACAAAAAAAAATTGTATCATATTCGTAATTTGAAATAATTTATTTTATCGTTGTACTCACATTGTACGTACGCTTGTGGTGCGTCGTCATAATCGCTGATGCAACGATCGTAATTTTTCTGAAAATTTGTATATGGTAATGTGTCCACTGTCCATATTACCGAAGCTTTGAAATTTCGAAACGTCCTGTAAATGACGTCATACACGAATTGTGCTTTGCTTTGTTAATTTGTTTGCATTTCTGACCCATGCCTTCGTACATCAGAAATGATGAGGCGCAATATTGAGCTTACCATGTTACATGTTTGTAGCAGCACTGTTCATGTAATTTCATTTTGGAAAACTCAAAGTGCCCGTAATTACAACACTAATTTACAATAGCTGTTGGTTCATTTTCACTTTCCATTTTCGACATTCGTCTTGCTCATACGGTGTTTTTTTTCTTTCGCCTTTTTTCACTTTTGGTTGTGTCGTTTCATTCCCAACCTATTCCATTTGAATCATTTTCTAAAGAGGTAGAAGAAATAAAGAAACTTGTCCTATTTGCATTTTGTTTCGTTGTAAGCATCGTTTAAACCGTTTCTTTCATCGGTTTTGCCAGCAATTTGTTAGACATGTTTATCAGGACAACATGCCACAAAAAAATTTCCGGAGTCAATTTTTTTTTATTCGCTTTGATGTTGATGTTCAGAATAAAACGAAATAACGTAACAGGAACTGTACTGAAATGCAGCAAATGAGAATTAGAGAAAAAGAAACGGAGAACGAAAGAAAGAGAGAGAGAGAGAAACATGTGAACCACATGAGCCGAGCTGAGTGTTAAAAGCATACCACAGCAGATAAGGCATTAGTGTACAAATGTTTGAAAACCGTTTGCATTTGTGTAAAGAGCTTTAAGTATAAAGAAATTCATCAAGAATATAGTGTACAATTTGAGCCGATTTGAGCCTGGAACAGTGTACGGACACATAAGCATGTTGCACATTTTGTACATGCCCCCAAAAAAAGCCATCGTATTCGTATGATTGCGCACGTGTGCATGTATTTACTGCACTTTCAACGGTAACATTTATTGCGTGTTAAGAGTTCGTAAATCTTATCACAGCAAAATTTGATATGGGCCCCATACTATGTATACATAAACACAGACATGCCACAACCAAATGCAATTCGCTGATGTAATTGCATCAAATGCAGTTCGTTTTATTGAGTAATTATTTATTGAAATGGAGTTTTTCTTATCTATCCATTTTTGGGGTTTCAAAGCAATCTCGTTTTTTTCACTTTTTCCGTTTCCACTCCTCTCTTTCCCTTGACTTCGGAACAGTTGAAATCGGTTGATTTAATATTAGCATGTTGTGTTCGTACATCCAGAGAAAATGGAAAAATACATGCATCATGTCTATAAATACCAAACGGATGTAATCTGTTTTGCTTTTTCAATTTCGGAAAATTTTCAACATAAGCTAAATTAAAAAGAAAAAAAAAAACAAAGAAGCACGAACTTCATCTACCCATAACCGATTCAACTGAATTCCCAAATTCCCATGTGAAATTAACGTTTTTGTTGTTTTTATTTGTGTGCCATATAAAGCCATGGTCGTATGTAAGCTAAATTATCGCAATTTCACCATCGGAGCAGACAAATCCATGGCAAACATGAGACGTTCCGATTTATGTCATTTGATTTTGTATTGGTCGATATAATATATGAGTTATCACATTGAAATAAAAAAAAAGAGAGAAGAAACAATGAACAAGCCAACCATGCACACAGATCAATCTGTATACTTTAAATTTGTTTTTAAAAAACGACAAAACTTCTTTATCCGCAAAGTCCATCAAATATCAAAGATTTTGAAATAAAACACAGTTTGTTTTAAGTATATTGCACCTTTATGACTTTGCCAATTTAATTTCAAGAATTCTATTCAAATAAATAACAATAATTGAAACAATGGTTCGGATGCATTTCGACAATGTGTCATCCTCAGCGAGTACATTCAAACTATCAATCTGTATACATATTTAGAAGCAAAATAATGGCAAGCAATAGGCTAAAATTATATTTGCACGTATTTTATTATCGAATCTGAATCAGATGTCGCAAAGCATGCAAAGCGTGCCAAGTCATTGAATTGCAACAACAAGGCACGTAGCCAGTCGTGCGATGCACATTTTCACTCAGTTGACCATACCCATATATAATGGGCATAGCAGAAGAAAAAAAAACTAAACACCAACTTCATGCATTAAATGTTAAATACCCTCATTTTTATATGGATATGAAATGTTGAACAGTCTATAAAATCGGCATGCAAAATATGAAACTAGCTTTAAAGTGTGTGTTTATTTGTGCATATGAACTAACAAGCATGAGTTTACCTGATGTTTTTATCACCGATTGACATCATCGTCGCCGTTTGCATTGAAAAATCGATTAACAGGATATTATAATGGAAAGCTGTTTTGTTCCGGAAATCGATTTATCGTTTCTTCCTATTCTACGCCATTTTCATTTATCTCTTTTGTATATTTGGCATTTTTGTGTTGTTTGCAACATTTTTTCGATCTAGAACCTGTTCTTGTTGCCATCATTTATTTTTACATTCACACTGAATTTTGTACGGCATTCCAGTTGTCGAACATAGCTGCCACATTGAGATCAACACTCTCACTATTTTTCTCGCTCTCGTTTCCTTCGACAGGGAGTCTTGCTCACTATCGTTCTCGCACTCAAGGTCATTCGTCTTCTCTCTCGGCACTCACATTCAATGATTTCTACTCGACTCCATTGAGGTTGGAATGCAAAATGAGCGTTTGCCATTTTTTGATTTCTTTTTCGCTAATGGCTTAAATGGAATAGGTTTTCAAATGCCTGTAAGATAAGAGGCATTTTGCGCTTGAAAAATTATCTTTCTCCGGACATGCGTTCTCACAAGCGTCGCCGGGTCAATCATCGTTATTGTTGTTATCTCCTCCAAAATTATACATTTTGGCAAAATATTCCTATGCAATTTCGCCTAATGGAAATTAAAGTAATTCGGTCGCTTTAAAGTAAAAACATTGAAATCGAATGAACAGTTATAACCGAGATCAAATTCAATCTGACTGTCTAATGAACAAATGAAATGTGCAACTTGAAATATGATGGTGAAACATAGAGATGGCAGGCAATGTAGGGTTAATAAAACCATTTTTATGGTTTTTAATTAATTAATATTTTTAGCTGATTCTCATTACAGCGATTTATATGGAATGAGAACAATTTATGTGAAAAGGAAGGGGTCGTCGTCAAGATAGTTGTCGACAAACTTTGACGATGTGAAATAAAAAAACTGCAAGTGCTCTGATAACTCTTATAATAACCATGATTCGTTTTTTTTTCTCCCTCTTTTCTTTTTCTCTTATTATTGTTGTTGTTGTCATTTTTTGAGGTGAGAATCATTAAATATTTCTCATTTTCACAGCGTACTTTCTTTAGCATTCTCGACAAAAAAAATTGAAACGAATTGCACTCAAGAACTGAATAAATGGGGGAAAAGTCCTTTTGACGAATTATGTGTCTTATTTTAAAGGAATTCTTTTTTTCTCTCTAGTATTTTCTAGCCAGCAGCTTTTTATTTTCCAAAAACATTAGCTTTACTTCGTCGTTCTGTTGCTTTTCATTGTATTTGTTATCCGTGTGCATTGCTCCGAGGATTGAATCTGCTCTGAAAACGTTTTCCTTTTGACTTGGTTGTTTGTTTTTGTTGCTGCCCTTGCTTGTGCTTTGTTAATTAATCATTATGAGATAACTGTGAGACAAAGACAAAAACGTCGA